CATATGAAATTAGCCGCAATATCAAAACAGCTGTTTCCTCACCGTTTTTCATACCGTTGGTGATTGTTTCACTTTCAATGGCACCCACCGCGTTGTCGTACCTTTTCGTTTGAGAAGAAATTTTTTCCGCAAGTTTCATGGAAAGTTCGAAAATAAATGAATGATAGAAACTGCATAAGAAACAAAGTGTGAAGCTCATTCCAATATCTGTGACTGAATCATCTGGCTCTGTGATGAACAGTACGAGCAATAACATGCAAAGTAAAATCTTTATTTAACAACAGCAAACTTTTCGATCAAACTGGCATCGATGATCATCACGATTTAATCTTATGAGCTGTTAAATAAGGATCGTTTTAATTGTTTTTTGCGCTGCAAAACACTGAATAAGATGTGCCATTATAAAATATACAAAAAAGAATTGGACATCCTTTATCCATGCCTAGACGCTAATGCTATTAGTTATACACTATATTCTACTTTTCTGCTCTCACTGCAGCGTATAGATTAATGTAGGATTTAGCACAGTTTTCCTAACATCATAGATCGATTTAGCAAAAAAATAACAGCTTTTCAATAGTAATCTTGTTATTATCCACAGTGCAACCGTGTGACCATCTCTTTTCACAGATCATGTGTCCAGAGTTCATTCGAAGTATACATAAAAATTTAACTGCCCGCCTCTGCTAGTCGACCAGTTCTAAGGAACTTTCTACCAAATGCTCTTTTCAACATTATTCAGTCATTTTAATAACATAAACGATGATGTCCCGTTCCTTCAGCCATCAGTCAACAAATCATTCGGGTCTTATAAAAAAATTTATGCACGAAAGAAGAGATGCTTGACCCTTTGGCCCCTTGCCACTTCTGAAATAACTCTGGAAGTGAAGTGCTTCTTGCAACATCACCTCTAACATCTTTATCACATTTCAAAGCCATCGCAATTCTGCCCCATCGATCTGGAACAGGAATGGCGCACAACAATGTGCCCAGCAGACAGAACATGCATGAAGACAAGATCTTCTGCAGAAGAACAGAGAAACGCTCTATTAGACATTTAGGCTGTTTCGTATTCGTTCAAAAACGTTGTTTTGCGCCGTAAGCAGTTCAAATCTATTATAACAAATTTATGACTATCCATGCACGAAATAACTTTCAAATACAAATTTATGTATAATTATTATTATATTAATTACTTAACAATAATAATAACTCCCCCACTGCCTGACCCAAGCCCGGATGAGAAAGGAGGAGGGTTGGAGACCGCGGCAAGTCTTCGTAAAATTCAGACATCTGCCACTCATGGTATTGACACCATCGAATATTATACCGGCTCGGTCGTCGC